TCTTTGCCTGGCACAATAATAATGTATAAGAGAGAGGAGCTCTGTGTCGGTCCGCAGCGCGGGTACGTGAAATTGTAGTGAGTTTTGGCGCGCAAACACGTGCTCGAGGAGTTGAATGAAATTTTATTTTCGGTTGAATTGTGCATGAGGAGGAAAGAAAGAAGAAAAAAAAATTGTACACGCCTCGCACATTTTCTCCGTTTTTCCTTAAACAGCTGTCATGTTGTGTGTGCGAATTGTTGTATTATTTCACTCGATAAAAGGTAACGATACATTAATGTTAACCTTATGTAACGAATCTCTCTCTTACTGGCCAAAGAGCGCAGAAAGACACTCTGCTCGCCCCCAAATGGACACCAAAGTCGTGGTGTTTGCTATTAGAAGTGTTTACGTGGGGCAATATTTGCTTTAATGTTACTTTTTTGCGCCAAATGCGATCTTGTGACTATATATATTGTGTGTGAACACATGAAAGATGGTGTGAATAATAAAAAAAATTTTACTATTCACAATTTCGTGTCATTGCTCCCGAAAAAAAGGCAGTGAGCAAAAGAGGAGAGAAAAAAAAGAACGTCAAGCTCAAGAACTCGGCAATATTGTATAATTTTCTCGCGCCCGTACAAAATTCCCCCCATCAAGATTTCTCTTTTGCCGCGCAATGAACGGGAAGAAATGTGAAGATTGAACTTGAGAAGGTGCTTTACCGAGAAGTGGGGAAAGAAGTACTATAATAGTCAGTGTTCATGGTAGAGGAAGGAAAATCAAACTCAACTTAGTGATAATCAAATTGTCCGTTTAATAGCATTATTTTCCAGTAATCTTCCTTGGTCAAAGTATATTGCCGGAGAATATCTTGAAGTGGGAAAGAAAAGGGAAGAAATTCGCGCAGTTGGTTTTCTTAGTTGGAGTTTTTGAAGTCTTCTTTTTCTGCTGCTGTTGGGCTAAGGTTTCTCTCTCACAGTTCACACATGGAGTTGATGTTGTGAAAAAAGAGCCTTGTTTTTCGTATTTTGCCTTTCATACACATTAAATGCGAAGAGTAAGAATTTTTGCCGGCAATTGCAATAGCAGAAGAGACAGAGATAGAGAGAGAGAATGCAAGACAAAGACCTCCAGTGTCTCAACAACAATTCTTTTCACTCTGATATTTCTTGGGTTTCACACCGATACTGAAATTTCCCTTTCTACCATCCAAACATTCTTCCCTCACCCACAATATGTCCCGGAATTGATTGGGTTATTTGTCTTCCTGGGAAAGTCTCTGGGATTTATGTGTGTGTGTGTGTTTTTCTCCGGTTGGCCTTTTCATTGGAAAATAATCTCAAGTGGAAATCTCCCGCGAAGAAGTGCAAAAGTCACTGAAACGTAACCTAAAACTCTCTGTCGTTCTTGGCGGGTTCTCTAAACTCGCTCAAAGTCTCTGATCGAATTGAAGAAATATGGTAATTGCTTCTGAGATTCCACAGATATCTGGATTTATCCTGAGTTAGGATGTAAATTTGGTTTAAAAAGTCATAACTTTTAAAGTCTAAAGGGTATTTTCTCAATGACTTGAGTGTATTTTCATTCTCCAAGAGCACTCAGCAGTTGCCTTTGGCATTGCATTTCCAAGTTGTGCTTCGTCTTTTTGAGCTCTCAGAGATCCGGAGATGTTGTGTGGAGGGAAGAAAAAGGAAGAGAGGAGCGCGAGGGTTTGAGAGCAAACACTTGAAGTTCCTGAGAATTTTTGGCGCGAATCCAATGATAGGTTGTGTTTGTATTTGCATGGAGGCAAGAGTGCAACATTCTTGCTCTTATGATCCACATGAAGATCAAGGATAATTGCATGGTGAGGAGGGAAAATGTTTGCTATTTTCGTCTAACTCACAGAGCGAGAGAGACAGAGAGGGAGAGAGAGAGACTGCGGAGCGTGAGAAAAGACGGTTGAGATGAATTTTTAGCGGCAAAGAGATGAGTGTTTTTGGCGGGACCCTCCGTTCAATATCTTAACGTTTTTTTTTCTCTCTGCACACACATTCATTATATGAATTTTCTGGTGAATGTTGGAGTCTTGAGGCAAAAGCACTATGGCACGATGTTGGCACGAAGTGTGACCGACGACTTGCCGCGCAGTCTCACGAAAATTCAATATTCTTGAGTCGGGGTTTGGTCAAGGAGTATGTATTTTTGTTGTTTGTTGGGGTTCTCGTACAGGAGGCGACAAGCGACCATTTTAAGAAGAAGAAGATGTATAGTTAAATTTGTGTTTCGTGGTGAAGTGAATTCGCGGGAATTTAAATTTAAACAATTCTTTTTTCACGGATTTTCATTATTTTATTCAAGTTGTGAATGTTTGTATTTTCTTTTGCTCCTGTGAAGCCGCCCACCCTTTTTTCCTATACATATTCGCCCTTCTCTCCTTCTCAATTAAGTGATTATTTTGGTAAATTATTTTGTTTCTAATTCTCTGCTTCACATAAGTATTTAAGACATCTTTTGAATATCTGCTGCAGTCCACATTTTCATTAATAAATTCACACGTGTCTTTTAGAACATTTTTTTTTTCACTTTAAAAGTGAGATGAAAATCGTGGAATCTTGGAAGTAAAATTCAACTTTCTCGCAAAAATTAATGAAATCCATATAGAGTTATTGAATATTATAAAAAAAATAACTTATCAATCGATTGATCTTCCACTGTCTCCTCATAATCCGAAATAATTTCGATTGTGTTGTCGAAGAGCATATCTACTTCCGATTCTTTGTCACTTCCGGCTTCATCGCGGATCACATCATTCAGCTCTTCATCCTCGTCTCTCAAGACTGCAGTTCTCTCCTCAAACTCATCTCCATTACCGCAGGGCATGATCTTTGCGTAGGAATGATCCCTGTGAAATACGAGAGCACATTTAAGTCAATCAATTTACACATATTTCTATTCTGAAACTTACATAGAATTGCAATCTCTGGGTTGAGAGATTGGATGAGGTCCAGACTCGCCTCTGGATGAGCCCGGCTCAGCTCTGGAGATGTCCCAACTTTCGTCGGGAAAACTGAAAATTATTATAGATGAAATAATAAAAAAGAACAACCTGCATTGTATATAAATCATTACCTCCCTTCTTCAATCTCCTTCTGCACTTCCACTCTCCCTGCAGAGCTCGGGAAGTGGGGTGGAAATCGTCAGGCAGGAAGTGGTCAGAGCACACTCTGATGATCTTCTTCTCAATACCTGACGACTTCTTCAAGATTTTCCTCCACTTCCTCACCACCTTCTCACTCTCGTGGTGTGGGAGTTGGTGGAAGGAGACGTGGGGATTACATCCCTGGATATTCTCACAGCCAATTGCACTGCAATTCATTTTTCTTCAACTTTTGCACAGAAAATTGACAATTAGAACGTGCGAAATGAATGAACAGTTGGTTTATTGTGACTTCGCTCGAAAAGAAAGTCGCGATGAAAAATAGTATGATCAAAATAACGGCCGAATTTTTCGCTAAAACCTAACCTCAAATAGACGATGTCGCCTCCTGTACGAGAACCCCAACAAACAACAAAAATACATACTCCTTGGGGTTTGGTGTTACAGAGCATACAATATATATGTTGGAGGGAAGGTTGGAAAAAAGCCCGCGCTCGAGAATTGCCTCACGCAGAGCTGAAAGCGAGAAAGAGATGGTACTCATGACTTAACCCTACTATAGTCGGATACATTTTTTGTTGGTCGTCTTGTGTGTGCGCCCTTTCCAGCGTTTTCCCCCCGCGCGCGCGCGCTGGCTGAGTTACGTTGAGTTCTCTCATTCTCACCCAGAGAGAGAGCGAGCTCAATGCTCGGTTCTGGACAGGGGGAAGAGGACAGATGGAGGTTTCCCAAGTGGTGCGGAGTGAGATGGTGGGACAGATGCATGAATTACACAGTGAGAAACGCGAGGGGGAAATTGTGTGCACTCTGTCGGCATTCACACACGATCGAGTGAGAACAGCATAGATGGATTGAGAGGGGAGATAAATTGGCGGTATTCGAGACCAGGTGTGTGCAGGGCTGTGAATTTGGAAAAGAGTGAAAGAAGCGAACACCTTTCTGTCTTTACCGACGCGATATATGTTGTGTGCTTCAGCAAAAGGGGGAGAGAAATGCTCTGGAGTGAGATGGCAGCAAAATAAAAGGGGAAAGTGAATATTTCCACGAGTGGAAAAGTTTTGAAAAATTCCACACTGTTTGTCTGGGGCATGAAAAAGCCGAATGTTAAGCCTTAACAACGGTGGTCTTAAAGGCTATGTTGAATTCACAAGAGACACACAGAGAGACAAGGAGAGTGAGAGAGAGACTTGGGTAACCGAAAAGAAACCATCTGCCATGGCTGGATAGCGAGTGTGGTTTCACTCTTGGGCAATTTTCGAGGGGTGGCCAGCCAAGAGAGGAGTCAGCCAAGTATGTAGATCGGAGTGAGATGTGAGGTTTGGTTCTTTTGGCGCCAAATTGATATCACTCCGCGGTGAATCGTGACGATGAAACACGTTTTTGGCGCGCGGTTGTATTTCTTCTCCTTCCTTCGTTGAAGCTCTTTGTCTCTGGATGGCCGGCCAAACAATCAGAGAGACATGCAGACGAGGAAAATGAGAACAGACACATAATGTTCTGATGATCTCGCGAAGGTTTTGCTCAAGAGTATGAGGAGAGCTGATTAAGGGGGGAATTTCAAGGAGAAATAAAGCAATTCCAGAGATTTGAGATGGAAGATTTGATAGAGAGAAATTGAGCTGGGCAGGACTTTTGGGGGGAAGTTCATTAGCACACACTCAATGTGACCCTGGAAAGCTCTTCTTCTTCTCCACAAAACCACACTTTGTTCATAAATGAGCGAAACTCATAAATTTACGCCGGAGAGAGACACTTAATGTGGGGCCGAAAAAAGTGGGACGATTTTCCCAGAATTCTCGACCATGCATGGAAATGCCAAATGTGTTTGTGTGTGAACTCTGACTTCCCGCCAAAATGTAACACTGTGGTGTCTTTGCAGGATTCCGGCCCCATAATGGACTTCTACATCTCGGATTCGATGCAGGACATGCTGGACATCGACATCCGCTCGGAGGTGGCGACAGTGGTTGGCGGCGCCAGTGAGTTCTCGTCACTGATCAACTACGATCTGCCGTCGCTGGACCTGGACTCCAATGACAACGATGGCGAGATCTCGTGGCTGGGCGGGCCGAAGTGGTCGGCCGGGAGTGATATCTATGCCGATGTGGGCGCGTGTGTCAATCCAAATTCTGTGATGCCGGTCATCTCGTCGTCTGTGTTCACGGCATCGCCGCGCAATCAGTTGAATCTCAATACGAGTGTCAATTTGGCCAATGGCTGCTCACCGGCGAGTCCCAAGGAGAAGAAGAGCCACCTGACCTTCTCGCCCAATCCGATTAAGATACCACAGGTGAAGGATACCACGCAGACGACCACGGTGAATGGCGTGAAGGTGTCGACGATGAATGCGTCGCGCATTGAGGCGGTGAAGAAGGATCTCAGTGATGAGATGAAGCACACGGAGAAGCCGAATGGGAAGCACCATCAGATCATGCCGCAGATCACCACCACCAATGGTGGCATTCTGAAGAAGATGAGCGGCAATACAATTGAGCTGGCCGTGGGCATTGGTGGACTGACGTTTGCCAACAACAACACGGGCAGCATTGCGAAGTTGAAGCAGAACGGCACGATAAAGTCCTCACTGGCCAATGGCAATATAATTGTGCAGAAGCGTGAGCGTGAATCTAGTCCGCAGCATCAGCAGCAGAATGGCATCCACAGCCACAGTCACGCATTCGGCGGCGGTGCCATCAATGGGCACACGAAGTTGCTGCAGAAGAGCATCGTGGTGACGGCGAACGGGCATCCGCGGACACTGGCGAATGGGACAAACTTGATTGCCACTTCCACACCTGGTCAGACGAAGATCAAGATCAAGTCCACGGGCATGGAGTTCCCGAAGCCGGCGTACTCTTACTCATGCCTGATCGCGATGGCGCTGAAGAACTCGCGCAGTGGAAGTTTGCCAGTGTCTGAGATCTACAGCTTCATGTGTGAGCACTTTCCCTACTTCAAGACGGCACCGAATGGGTGGAAGAACAGCGTGAGGCACAATTTGTCGCTGAACAAGTGCTTCGAGAAGATTGAGAAGCCCACGACGAATGGTGGACAGCGCAAGGGCTGCCTGTGGGCCATGAATCCGTCCAAGATCAGCAAGATGGACGAGGAGGTGCAGAAGTGGTCGCGCAAGGATCCGCTCGCCATCCGGAAGGCCATGGTGTTCCCGGAGAATCTCGAGGCGCTGGAGCGTGGTGAGATGAAGCATGGACACAGTGGTGAGAGCGATATTGAGAATGAGGGACACTCGGAGTCGGAGGAGCACAGTGACTCTGAGGCGGAGGCTGAGCCGGAGTCCTGCGATGATGACGTCGAGGCGGATTTTGATGTTGAGGTGAGTGGAAAAGAATTCTTTAGCGTGTTCAGTATTGTGATGGTCTTTTTCGCTTGATTCCTCCGCCAGGTTGCCGACTTGTATGATGAGATCGACATTGAGGACTCGAAGGAGCTTCTGTCCCTGAGTCACAGCTTCGTGGATGACAGCGGCGAAGTGCTTCCAACGCACAAGAGGGCACGATTGGATGTCAACTACTCCATCACACCCGCCACGCCAAACTCCTTCGGGCTCTCGCACATTCAGTCCGGCCAGCATCTGACCACGTCCACGCCACAGCCGTCGCACAACCGCCGGAAGATGCAGCTGGTGAACCGAATAGCCTAGGCGAGTCAGGGCGCCAGGACGCACCCTCAGGCAACCAAATGTGAATAACAAACCACCCACGCGAGAGAGAGAGAGTTTGAGTGAGAGAGCGAGATGGAATTCTATATGGTAGAATTGTGAAGAGAGAGAGAGAGAGAGAGAGAAACAATGTTTGTAAACACACTTTTCCTTATTGTAATCTCAAGAGGAAAAATATTTTTACTGTAAAATTTAAGAGTCGTGAAAATGTGTACTTGAAGATGAAAATCTCATTGACAATGTGAGAAAGAATGTTGAGAGAGAGAATTCCATTGAGAGAGAGAGAGAAACATTAGTTTTTAAGGATTTCTTTACGCTTTCTTTTTAATAATATTGTATCTCTTGTAAATAGATTTACCCTTCCCTGCAGGAATTTGCAAACTTAACTTTTATATAAATATATTAACTACTGTAGGTATTTCTTAGTGTTACAAAAATAAATGCTGGCGAAAGTTGAGACGGAAGCGCTAAGAGAAGGATTTTTTTTGAACAAATGACAGGGCTGAAAGTGATGCTGATGTTAATTATCGGATGATAACATAATCAACATAATAGTGGAGAAATTATGTAAAGAGAATGTGAAGGAGAGAAGAAATGGAGGGTAAAAGAATGGTGTTTTAGAGGAGGAATTTATCACAAAATTTTACAGTTTTTCTACACCAAAATTAATCACTAAAAAAAAAAAACTTTTTCGAGTTACTAAGAAAAAAATGAAAACATTCTTCATTGGAAGGTCTTCCAGTGTTTAAGGAGAAGGGGGGCTGAAGAAAGAAGGAAGAGGAGAAAATCTCCTTTTGGAATGTATGTGAAAGAAGTGTTGTAAAAAGGAATATTTTTGTGTGCAATTTTCCACAATAATTTCACCTTCACGTGCGCACCTGCTGAAAAATTGTGAACTTCTGTAAGAAAAGAATATCTTCTGAAATGGTGACACGTTGCAAAATTCGAGTAGAGGTGGAAATATTTGTAAAATAGGTAAAAAAAAAACAAGAAGCCAGAAGACGGTTTCCACAGATTGATTGCAAAGAAAAAAAAAGAGTAAATCTTGTAAATTCATTTGCAACATTAGCGAATAATTCCTAGAAATGTAGTTGATGTGTAAAAAATTTAACAATTTTTTCTCTCAATCTCTGAAGATTTATATTGTGAGATTTTGTCCACAGAATAATTAAATAAAGAAAGGAGAAAAAAGAGGTACTTTTGTATAGGCAAATGGAAAAAGAAGGATTTGCACTTTATACACGAGCAGAGAAGAGAAAAAGTGTGAAATTTGGGAGTTGGATGGAAATTTTGTATAGGAAGCAAAGGAAAAAAAAGAAAAAATTGCCAATTCAGTATTCAAAAGCAAAAAAAGGATGGGAAATAAGAGACATTGAATGTTTTTTTGGAAGAAGAAACACAAGAAATATTTATAAAGGAAAACTTTGTAAAATAAAAAAAAATGTTAATCATCTCCTCATAAAGAAAATTAGGGCAGAAAATGGGCGAAGCGGAAATTCTTCCATTATTGGGAATTTCTATTATAAGTTTTCTTCTCCTTTTCAATTTACAAATTTTCTTAACTAATAATGTAATTTATTTGTTCACAAGAAGACAAAAAAAAGATGCAAAACTGTGAGAAGAAAAAAAAATCCCCCAAGATGACGAAAAACAGTACAAAATATATGAGAGAAAATCACTTTGTGAATCCTTTATGTTAATTTTAAACCAATTTATTCACGATATATTGAGTTGTTTGTCCTCCGGAGATGATCCGTGATTGGAGAGATGCGAGAAAAGAGAGTATATAATCCGGAATGAGAGATAAGTGGAAAGCATAGAAGAGGACGATAGAATCCTATTTGCTACTTCTAGTGATAAGACTCTTTTGTAAGAAACAAACATTTTTGTATGAAAATAATAAATGACAAAAAAATCCATCGGCTGTTTAACTATTTATTCCCTGCACTACTTTCCCTCTCCCTACACTTCCTCCACCAGCCGGAAGTTCTGGGGCTGCTTCTCGGCGATGACATTGAAGAACTTCTTGTAGATCGTCTGATCCTCTCGGCCGGCGTAGTTCCTTTGCACCCACGTGCGGTCCCAGTTTGGATCAATCTTCTCGCATGTGATTACCACTTTGCCATCCCTCATGGCATAGAGAGTGCCATCCCGGCCGAAGCCCACATTCAGTCCCGGATGGAAGCGAGTCTTGCGCTGAAGGGCAAGTCGAGTTCCTTGTGTCACGTGCTGACCGTCCTGGCGCTTCCATCCTCTGTGCTTGGGTTTGCTATTGCCTTTGCCCTGATTCCTAGTGCTGGAGCCTGTCTTTTTGCTTGCGAATCTCACAGGAACTGGCCAGGAAGACACACAAGAAAAAGGGAGGTTAGGTTCAGAACTCTGTGAGAAACAACATAGATTTTACCTGTTTGCAAGGATGACGTGCCTAGAATTCTTTCGCCGAGAGTCAGGGCACTTCTGAGATAGGGCAGTACACTCATCCTGACCAGGAAATCCTTCTGAAAAGTGGAGAGGAAAAAATTTCCCAATTATTTCCGCAAACACCACTCACTGACTTCAGCGCCGCGGTGCGTGAATTTCAGCCGGCCGGTCGTTGGCGCTGTCGTCGCGCGTCTGTCGCCATTTTCGTTTTTGTGAATTTGTTGAGTTGGTCGGAAGTGTGTGCGCTGATAGTGCGAAAATCTGTGCAAATAGAAGTCCCCAGACACTGAAAATACCTCAGAATTGTGCCCGTGAATTGCGTGAAGTGATTCTGTTTGAGAAAGCCATGGCATCGAAGGCGAAGAAGAGTGGTTCGGGAACGCCCTTGGCGTCCAGCACGCCAGTACCGGGTGGCAAGACGACTCCTGTGCCGGGTCCGGGCGTGCGGCCGTCAAGTCCTCTCAGCCCCACTCGGGCGAGTCGCTTGCACGAGAAGGCAGAACTGCAGGGCCTCAATGACCGTCTGGCCGCCTATATTGAGCGCAATCGCTCGCTGGAGCAGGAGAACAGCCGCCTCAGCATCCAGGTGCAGACGTCGCAGGAGACGGTGACGCGCGAGATGACCAACATGAAGGCCATGTATGACAATGAGCTCACGGATGCCCGCAAGCTCCTGGACGACACCACGCGCGAGAAGGCCAAGCTGGAGATCGACACGAAGCGTCTCTGGGAGGAGAACGATGATCTCAAGGCGAGGTAAGAGCGCGCCCCATTTTACCCACAGTTGCCTCCCAACACACTCCGCGCGCGAGAGGCAGTGACCATGAAGTATTCTCAAAAAATCCACTAATTTATTCACCGAATTCTCGCCATCTCTGTCTGCCGCCCGGGCGGCTCGTGTCTGTCGCTCTCGCCGGGAGCTCCACATGCCTGACGAAAGAGCAGCAAATGTGGAGTGTGATGTCACCCCGAAGAATGTCGACGAGAGATCATAAAACTCACACGCACACACCATTCGAACTCTCCCGGAGAGGGAAGAGAGTCCCGTTGAGCCACGAGAGCGCCTGATAAGGATGGAATTTGGCGGAAATCTGGGTGATTTGGGATTGAGGGACAATCACAGTGGGTCACCAGCGATACGGGGCTATCTCTTGAGATGGGGGGCGCTTTCTCTCATCCTCCTCTCTGCATGTGTGTGAGACTTTATTTGAGGAAGGCCTCGAGTCACAGGGTGACGCACTGAGATTCACGGGAAAGTCAACACAGAAAGTGTCGTGAAGAAGTCATGATTTTTACGGCAAGGCGGGGCTCAAGTGGAGAGATTTTCTGGTAGAATTCATGACAATTTATATAGTCTTCAATGACACGACAAAAACCAACACAATCTTAAGCAGTTTAGCGATAAAAGCAGTCATTCGGAATGTTGTTGAGCCTGTTGGAAGTGCTGTGATGTCTTTGGCGAAGCGAGCAGTTAACTTCTGCCAATTGTGGTTCACCCTGTGGGTGATTTATTGACTATGTATGAGGTCAAAGACAGAGAGGAACGACGAAAGAGACCCCAAGGCGGGCTGGCATTGCGTCACGGGAGACCACAGAAATGCGGCAGCGCCGGATGATGAAGATGGTGTTGTGAGGCACCTGCTTTTTGAGTTGATTTTCACGGAAATCTCATGTTGTTGTGCAAATATTGATTCACGACAAACGTCTTCATTGAAAAATCTCTCGAGATTTCGAGGTAATATTTTGTGGGTCTCTTAATTTCTCTGCACGCCACGACGCGTCATGCCTGTTTTTGGGCGTGATGTCACTCAAAATACACAGACACGAGGTCGGAAAATGATGTGGGAACGCGAAGAGGGGCGATAATAGTGAGGGAGGGTGTGTGAAGGAAGTGTGAAAGGCATGAGGAGGAGGAAGAACGAAAAATATATAAAAATGTTACGATTGTGGTAGGAAAGAAATGTTGGGATAAGAGAAAGAGAGAGAAAAGCAATGAACAGAGGTGAAATGGGAGTGTTTCTCTTCAAGAAAACACACTCTGATGGTGTTTCTATTTTGTGTGTTAATTGTGTGAGGGTGCTTTTCGAGGGGAATACAATTGGAGAGAATTAATTTTCATTTACAATTTACAAGTTGGATTTTTTTTGGAAGAGAATTCACTGAATGGAACACTGTTCTACATAAATTTGCTGACATGTTAAGAGAAGAAAAAGAAAAAATTGGTCAAGTTTTTTAATTCGATGTTCAGTTGATATTAATTTGCTGATTTTCCTCAATTTGGGGAGTTCACAAATGTTGTTAATGGAAAGATGAGCGACCATATGGTTGAGAAAGCTTCATATTTCAAGCTGAAAAACTACTTTGAGTCTCAAGAAGTCAGTGAATCATGCCATAAAAACCCTTTTCTCCCTTCGTCATGGTTGATTTCCGGTGTTTAGTCGATGATGATGCTGATAATGATGATGGAATTGGAAGTTTATTTACTCAAGAAGATCCTCAAGATGCCAAGACGCATGAAGAAGCGTCTGATCTTGCGCGTTTGTTTGTCTGAGCGAGGGCAGAGGATGATGATGAGCCCTGGAGATGGTATTTTGTGGGCCAATGCTATTAATAGGCGAACGATCGTTGGTAAAAAGGTGGACGAAGAGAGCAGCAGTGAAGGTCAATGACCAAGATAATGCATGTTTCACTTTCATTTGGCAGGCCTTTTATTGCCTTTCCACACCTATTTTGGGTTGAAGAAGAAGAGTTCTGAGAAGGATTTCGATGGGCTTGACAATCACATGATTGCGCTCTTGTTTTGTTACCAATGATGATCACTGATTGTTTGAGTGAAATTCTGAGCAAATTCGCCTCTGGAGAATTATTTCTTGCGTGTGTTGCTTCAATCGATTTGCTTATGGCAAATTTTTATTTTTGGCATCTGCCTCTCCTACACTTTTGTCCCTTCTAAATACACTTCTTGATAAATCGATTAGCAAAGCCGCGTTCATGCTCAACTCACTCACTCTCTGTATGTTTTTCAGACTCGACAAGAAGACGAAGGATCTTCTGCTGGCGGAGAACAGTGCGAGAATGTATGAGTCTCGGTGCAGCGAATTGACTGGAAAGTACAATGCTGCATGCAGCGAGCGCAAGAAGTACCACGATGAGGTGAAGGAGCTGGAGAAGGAGCTGGATAAGCTGAGGAAGCATCTGGAGGAGATGCGCAAGCATCTCGAGGAGGAGACACTGGCGCGCGTGGATCTGGAGAATAGTATCCAGAGTCTGAGGGAGGAGTTGACGTTCAAGGAGGGCATTCACCAGCAGGAGCTGCAGGAGACGCGCACACGACGCCAGGTGGACATCAGTGAGATTGATGGGCGCTTGAGTGAGCAGTATGAGGCGAGATTGAAGGAGTCTCTCATGGAGTTGCGCGAACAGTATGAGCTGCAGATGAAGGCAAATCGTGATCAGGTGGATTTGCTTTATGAGGCGAAGATTAAGAATCTGCAGAATGCACTAAATGCAAATACAAATTCGGCATCGGCAGCTTTTGAGGAACTGAGGCAGACTCGCATTCATGCTGACTCGCTCAAGTCGCGAATCAATGAGTTGGAGGGACAGAATAACACGCTGAATGGGCGAATTCATGATCTGGAGAAGCTGTTGGACACAGAGCGTCTGAATCATGAGAATATTGTGCGTGGTCTTCAGGCGCAGCTGGAGAGGGAGAGAGAGGAGTTCTCACAGCAACTGAAAGAACTCCAAGACCTGTTGGACGTTAAGGTTTGTGTGACTTCAACACAGTGGAAAATATCCTTGACTAAATCCTTCGTGTTTCTCTCATTTGTAGGTCTCATTCGATATGGAGATTTCGGCATATGACAAGTTGCTGTCCGGCGAGGAGCATCGCTTGAACATTTCACCCTCTCAGTCTCACCCCTCTGGGGGATCATCGTTCTCCTTGTTTCGCTCGGGGAGTCGCCAGACGCGACGCACGCCACAGCGCCAGGGCGGACCGGCGATGAAGAGGAAGCGCACGTACTTGGAGGAGTCGGATGAGCGCAGCTGGAATGACTTCTCCGTGACGGCGTCCGCCAAGGGGGACATTGAGATCGTGGAGGCGGATCCGGAGGGGAAGTTCGTGAAGTTGCGCAACAAGGGCGGCCGCGAGATCGCGATCGGCGGCTGGCAACTCACGCGCACGGTGGGCGCCAATGAGACGGTGTTCAAGTTTCATCGCAGCGTGAAGGTGGACGGCGATGCGGTGGTGACTGTGTGGTCAGCCGACTCGGGCGTGACTCACGAGCCGCCAACGAACATCGTGATGAAGGGACAGAAGTGGTTCGTCGGGGACAACATGAAGACCGTGCTGGTGAATTCGGACGGTGAGGAGGTGGCGGCGTCTGAGCGTGTGCGCAGTCACGTGTCCAGCCTGGCGTCCAGACATCGTGAGTCTGGCTTCGGTGGCGATGACTTCTACCACCATCAGAGCCTCAGGTCAGCCTCCAGGGCGTCGCAGTTCAGCAGTGACGGACAGCAGAACCAGGAGAAGTGTCGTGTCATGTGAATTGAGGGGCGCATTTGAAGGGAGAGAGAAAGAGGGAAAGAGGGACACTTTTCTGCAATCCCACGAAGAGGTAAAGAAGCAACAATTGTGAATTTGATGGAAGCTTTGCGAACATCTCAATCAATCTGTTGATGAAGAGTGAGTGTTTTTGAAGCTTCTTGAAGATTCTCAATTTGCAAAGAAGATACTTTTTATATACACACAAAAAAGAACCTTTTTTTCTTTAGTTATAATTTGTAATTCAATCATACAATTTATTATTGATTTATAGCATAGACGAGAACAGAGAAGAGAAGATAAAAGGATAAAAAAACAAGAAATTATCGTGAACAATATTCAATGAATTTGCTGAGGAGAAAAAAATAAGGAGAATCGACGATCAAGAAATTATTCTAAAATTGAAGTTAAATTTATTTCCAGACGAAAATGATAAAAAAATTTTGTTGCACCTCAAAATGCACTCTTGAAAGGAAGTTTATAATGCAGAATATTTACATGGTATTGTGTTGGAAAAATGTTGGTGAGAAGAAGAGGTTTATTAAAAATGTAAGATCAGATTAAGAATCGATCAAAATGTCATGCCTATAGAAGATTAGAGTTTAAAGGAAAAAAAAGAAGAAAGAAGAATGTAAATTCTAAATCACACACAACACAGAAACACACTCAAGAAGTTTACTTCTGAGCATCGGAATTGCTTCCTGTATTCAAAATCTAGTAGAGATTTATTAGTGCTGCAAATAAGAATATTTATCCTCATCATTATTATATTTCTTGTATTTGTTCTGTCTTAACTTGAAGATGCCTGAAATCCATTTAACTGGAGTAAAACAACCTTACAAAAGAAAGTGAGAAGGGAATTAAATGATAGCTTGTAAAGATTGAGAAAAGTGTGAAGGAGTAAATAGAGATATTGAGGATTAAGGAAGGATTTTCTCTAACAAGATTTAAGTTTAAGATTAGATTTTTCTCTTTTTTTTGCCTCTACTGAGAATATTTCTCGACGTACTCTTCTTTTTTTTTTATAAGTTGCTTAAAAGTCACCTCAATTTTAAATGTAATAATTAAGGAGAATCGTGTTTCACATAACTCGAGGACTATTGAAGGATAATAAAGAAAAACTGCCGTGGTTTTGATTGTAAGATAACAAAGAAAAACCCTTGAAAACACAGAATCAGTCGTGAAATTATTGCTTTTCCTCATTTATGCATAGTTATATTAACATTTTTTGTGTTCATTTAAGTCTTTTTTTTCACATTATTTGTGCTAATATAGAGAAAAACAAGAATAACACTGAGAGAGAAATGAAAAAATGGAGAAAATTGATTGGAAATAAAAAGGAATAAAAAAAAACATCACAGAATGTGGTTTAAAATGCGACACACACTAACTTAAAAGGAGGGTGCTAAGAGGGCAAATTCTTCACTGGAGCGAAGATACAAACACATTTTAAGGATTACAATTACACGAAGTAATTAATTGTATATTTATATGTACCAGAATAAAGTTGAATTCTCTACAAAATGAGTGCTTTTTTCACTGCTTCAGTCTGATAATTTGCAGCCCCTTGAGAGATCGTTAATGTTTCAGTGGGATTTGAATTGCGCGGTTGGTGAATCGGGAAATTGACCTGCGATGCTTTTGCGACCAACTTCACGCCAATCAGTGTGACAGCGAAATAGTAAACAAAAATCTCGCTGGAATTTTCTCTGTGTTCTGTTGCCTTAAATGTTGGTGAAAAAGTGGCGAGAAGATGACGACGCGCAACCCCCACACCCTCATGGCCATGTCCGTGGACGAGACATTTGATTTCCTGTTCAAGATCGTCCTGATCGGCGATTGTGGGGTGGGAAAGTCGTGCGTGGTGGAGCGCTTCAAGTCGGGGAACTTTGTCGAGAGGCACGGAAACACGATTGGCGTGGACTTTTCCATGAAGAGCGTCAACATTGAGGGCAAGAAGATCAAAGTGAGTGTGTCCTGGGGAGATGAGGAGAATGGGAAAGCCAGGAGGACTGACTATTGGTGTCGTTTCAGCTGCAAATCTGGGACACGGCTGGCCAAGAGAGATTCCGCACCATCACTCAGAGCTACTACAGATCCGCGAATGGAGTCATCATAGGTAAATTGCTCGATGGGGCGTTTCGGGGCCACACAGAGATGCACATGAGATGGAAAATTCACGCCCAGACTATCGCAGATTGACCTCTCGCGCCTGATTTCGCGCCACCGTCTTATCGCCTTTGTTCGCGCGCGCATTACTCACGGGAAAAAGATTAGCATTTTCTCGCCTGACGCTTGAGAGATGAAGTATTGTGAATCGACATGTGTGAACACTTTAATTTTAATGTGTTCTAATTGAACGGAATTTAGCGACAGAGTCTTCAGTGCGTTGAGTTTTCCCATCATTTTGGGCAACTTTCTTCTCAGCAAAACACTCTGGCGAATCGACCATAAACACGCGAAATTTATTAATGAAAATGTACATTAAATTTGTACAACACAGCGGAATGTTTGTCCGTCCGGATGAAGTGGATGGAAAGCGCTGCGCAGCTGAAGATCATCTGGCGATCGCTATTATACAAATTAGATGCTTTCGAGGCCCTTTTTCTCTGTTTGAATAACCAATCAAGAGAAGACCTTCGATTTTAAGAGTCCGATTGCATAAGATTTGAGCTACTTTGGGAAAAACCGATGTTCAGACAGTGATTTTCCTGGTCAGTTGTGCAAGTGTAGCATTAAAATGCGCATTAGAAATTTATAATGATGTGCAGAAAGTGAAGGCGTAATTTTTTGGGCTGCTCTTCGCGTTCATTTCTCATTCGACAGTCGCTCAAGACGCGCCCGCTCGAAAGACAGATGAATAATTTTGAAAGGTGGCCGTGAAGAAAATTTCTTCGTGCACTAAAAATAACTCCCAAATGTTGAAGAGGTGGATCAATTGATTTTCCACATAATTGCACGAATTGTAGCGCAGAAATAGTCACATATTTATCAATGTTTATTTACTGGGTGTATTTTGTCTATTTTTTCCACTCTTCTTATCGCTCTGCGTGACTCAATTGCGTCTCTAATGCCAATATTGACTGGGTTTTCTCTATCTCCGGCAGTGTATGACATCACCAAGAGGTCGTCCTTCCTCAACTTGCAGCGATGGATCGAGGAGGTGCGTCGCTACACTGCCTCGAGCGTGATTCTGGTCCTGATCGGCAACAAGTGCGACATGGAGTCTCTGCGCGAGGTGGAGTTCTCAGAGGCTGAGGCCATGTGCGAATTCGTGCCGGAGATTCTGTTCGTGATGGAGACGAGCGCCAAAGAGAACACCAACGTCGAGGAGGCCTTCATGTGTCTCGCCAATGAGCTCAAAGTGAGTCTGATCGGCTTCTCAGGAAGTGCGTTTTTCTAAACAGGGTTGAAAAATGTTGTCTTTCTTTGCAGCGACGACACGATTCTATCACTGCAGATGGCGAGGAGGCGGGAATTGTGCTGGGCAAGAGCAAACCACTCAATCAATGCAGCTCCAGCTGCAATCTCACGTGATTCTGATGCTGGGAAGAATCTCAATATCTCTCTCTCTCTGTTTCTGCCTCGTAGTGCCTTAGGAAAAGTACCGGAGAATCTCATGAGAGTGACAAATTGTCGAGAAAAATTGTGAATATTTCATTCTTAGACGATCACGTGCTTAATTAGGATGTTTTAATTCGTCTCGAAAAAACTGTCTCTGAACAAAACACAAAAGCAATTCTCTTAATTCGAAATTCACAAATATTTATGATTTTATTGTATCCTGTGTAAAAAAAACGTGACCTACTTCTCAGTGATGACCACGAATATTGATATTTTTTCGATTGTAATCTTACGTGAATGCTGTAGAATAAATATTTTTAAGAAATTCCACATGTTTTTATGCGTGAATTGAGCTTTTTCTCACCTGTGCGACGTTAAGGCGGTCATTTTGAATGTTCACACGCCATGCCCTCTGGTGGCAGGATGGGCGTGGGAAAATTCACCCCCCAGAATCGCGTGAAGTTTTCCTTGAGCGTGAAAAAAAGAGTGTGGCATGGGAAAGTGTGATTTTATCGAGGAAAAAGCAATTGCTAACCACTGAATTTCCCTCAAACACAACCACCAAGTCACGCTTAGCGACTCTCAGGTAATATTTCGGGGCATTTCTTGTGCATAATGTGGATGAAAATTGCTTGAGAAGAAATTTTTCAATGGAGTCCTTTTTTGTGTGGGGCTCACTTTCGATTTCTGTGACTTTGAAACACGTCTGTGAATCTCTGTGACAATGCAAATAGGAAAAAAAGCTGTATTTTCCTCACACTGTGTGTGGCTTTGCAGGAACGGCGGGAAAGTGTTCAGGCGAGGACATCCCAGTGTGCTCTGAAAAAGAGGTCCCACCCCAAATGGAAGTGCTGCAATTTGACATTTTCTTCCGCCCCACGCGCACTTCCGCCTCCGGAGGGTGGATCAGGTGAATGGCTTCGGGTGTTCCATGCGTGAGGAGTGAGCAGCTGAGATGCCGAACGCGGAGCAGGAAGTGGGATGCTGGGATTCCGTGCTCCTGGAGAATCCCACCGAGGATAACTTCATCAGTAATCTCCACCTGAGATACAAGAGGGATCACATTTACGTAAGACCATCAGATCTCTGTCGACTCTGCCCCCGTTTTCATGCCTCTCCTGTGACTTTTCCAGACCTACATTGGGACGTACCTGGTGTCCATCAACCCCTTCAAGCCACTCCCTCTCACCACGCCCGACCTGGTGAAGACCTACGCCACCCGCAGACTGTTCAAACTCCCACCGCACATGTGAGTTTAACGAGCTTTTTCAGTGGTAAACGCCAATAACTCCTCTCTTGCAGCTTTGGCGTCGCCAGTCGAGCTTACGCGAATCTGCTGGACTTCCATGAGGATCAGAGCATCATTCTCACGGGCGAGAGTGGCAGCGGGAAGAGTGAGACGGCTCAAATGGTGGTGGATTTCATCACGCGCGTACCGCAGATTCGACGAAGTCGCTCGCCACGGCGAAGAGGATCCACTTCCTCCCCGTGCTGCTCAGCTCACGGCTCCAGCAACGTCTCGCGCTCTTCCACTCCGCGGCACGAGTCCTCGCTGGACTCTCCCGGCGCCTGCAGTCAGTCCAAGGGATGCATTTTCCGGCAGCGGAGCGTCGAGACGGAAAAGTCTTCGTATGGAAGCCTGAGAAAATGCTCTCACGAGTGGAAGAGCTCAGAAAGTTTGCCGTCAAAGTGCCAACTTCACGCCCACTCGACGCCCAGGATTGCCAAGAAGTGCCCCAAGCACTCGTGCAGCACGCCAGAGTATCAGCAGAAGAATGTGGTGCTGTCCAAGACGCTGTACGACGACTGCTCCTTCCGGCGCTCGTGCTCGCTGCACCACAAGGAGGCGAACATGAGGGACAAGCTGGCCACGCTGGATGGCCTGACGAAGAGTTATGGTTTCAGGGCGACGCCGAAGTGCTCAATGGACTGTGATCGGGTGCCGGCGCGACGCGCCAAGACGCCGCCGCCGCACTTTGGGCGCGGCTATGGCAATGTGAGCAACATCGTGGAGAACTTCCGGCGCATCCTGAGGAGTCGCATGAGCAACGACGAGGCGGAGATGCAGCAGACGAAGGAGAAGGTCGCCCACGCGGAGACCTTCATCAATGCCATGGGCTCGGCCAAGACGACGAAGAATCGCAACTCGAGTCGCTTCGGGAAGTTCTTCGATGTGGCATTTGACTTCAAGGGGGACGTGATTGGTGGCCACATCTATCACTATATGCTGGAGAAGACGCGCGTGACGAGTGTGGCGGAGAACGAGAGGAACTTCAATGTGTTCTATCAATTGCTGGCCGGAGCGGACATTCATCTGCTGAAGGCGCTGAAATTGCAGCGCAACATCGAGAAGTACGAAGTATTGAGGAGCAGCATTGCCACTGAAGAAGATCGTCAGGCGTTCAGTCGCACGAAGCGGAGTCTCGACGTGATTGGCTTCACGTGTGAGGAGATCACGTCAATCTTCCGCATCTTGGCGGTTGTGCTGAAGTTGGGCAATCTGATCTTCCTGCCGACGACGAATATTGATGGCACTGAAGGATGCTCAATAGCGAATGAGTATGAAGTGGTGGAGATTTCGCAGCTGCTGGAGATTCACGTCGACATCCTGGTGCTCTGTCTCACGCGCACCAGCACGAGTTGGACGCAAATTCCGGACAATTGGGTGGAAGTGGACGCCGAGGCGGCCACGAAGATGAAGCAGACGCTGTGCAGAACACTGTACGGACGCCTGTTCGTGTGGATTGTGGCGCGCGTGAATGAGGAGATCAAGAGCACACGCCTCAATGGGCACAAGCGACACGTGGGCATTCTGGATTTCTCCGGATTTGAGGTACTGGAGCGGAATTCGCTGGAGCAACTGGCGATTAACTACTGCAGTGAGCGTCTTCAGCAGCACTTTCTCGTGTCTGTGCTGAAGGAGCAGCAGGAGTTGTACGTGCGTGAGGGTCTGGAGTGGACTCGCGTGGACTTCTTTGACAATTGCGGCATCTGTGATTTATTCGATCGGCCCAATTATGGTATTCTCAGTCTCCTGGATGAGCCTCATGTGAGCTGCGATGACATCTACTTGACGCGCATCCATCAGTGCTCGGATGGACATCCAAATTTCCTCTCTGACGACCTCGCCAGCTGCCCCAACAGCTTCCAGATTCGCCACTTTGCCGGCACTGTGAGCTACAGTGTGCAGCACTTTGTGGAGAAGAATGCCGATCACTTGCCGCGCAGCGTGAGTTACGGACTGTTCCAGAGCAATTTGCCCATTGTGCAGAGTCTCTTTCCCGAGGGAAATCCCAAGCGCAGCACGAAGCGACCAGCGTCGGTGGCGAGCAATCTGCGCGTGGGAATGCACACGTTGCTGAAGACTCTGGCGCGGCGGAAGTGTCACTATGTGTTCTGCCTGAAGCCGAATGATTTCGAGGAGCCGCGGCACTTTGAGATGTCTCTGATTCAGCACCAGGTGCGATATCTCAGTCTCATGCCCGTGCTGAATGTCTGGCGCGACGGATACTGCTTCAGCATGAGCCACGTGGCCTTCCTGGCGCGCTACAAGTTGCTGAACAATCTCACGTGGCCGCACTTCGCGAGGGGATCAGTTGTGGAGGCGATTGCACTGATTGTGCGCTCTCTGCCGCTGCCCACGGCCGAGTTCACCATCTGCACGCAGAGAGTGTTCATCCGGAGTCCCAGGACTGTGATTGAGATGGAGGAGTTCCGCAGGATGCGACTGGGCGAACTGGCGACGCTCGTGCAGAAGATATTCCGCGGATACAGGGACAGGAGGAGGTTTCTCAGGCTGCGCAGCAGTCAAATCAAGATCGCCAAGATATGGAGATCATACAGGGTGAGGAGTGTGTGAAGTCATTGATGAGCAATTGAGATGATTTTTTCCATGGCTTTTCAGTCAAATTCCGAGTATCGCGTCGTGAAGTATCGCCGACGCGTTCACTGGGCAGTTGAGGTGATCCAGAAGCACTATATTCAGTGGAAGCGTCGCCACTTCCTGCTCCTACTGCCACATCGTCTTCCGTTGGACAGCTTGAGTCCATTGTGCACTGAATGGCCGCGCGTGCCGCACTTTTTGGCTGAGACGTCGCAGCTTCTGCGTAAAATCTACCATCGATGGCGAGTGAGTGAAGAAATTTCGCTGCATTTTCTTGTCCTCAATGTCTGCTTTGGGGTTTTTGCTTTTCAGTGCTACAAGTACAGGAAAATGTTCGACCAAACGGCACGCAATCGCATGAGGGAGAAAGTCACTGCCAGCATCATTTTCAGGGAGCGCAAAGCGTGCTACAGCCGAAGTATTGGGCGTCCTTTTATCGGGGATTATGTGCGTCTGAGGCAGAATATTCAGTGGAAGAGGATCTGCATGGAGACGAATGATCAATATGTGGTGTTTGCTGATATCATCAATAAGATCACGAGAACGAGTGGAAAGGTAGTGATAAATTTACGTCTGCTGATTGATTTAGAGTGTTTTATGAGCAATTTTCTCTCTCAGTTTGTGCCAATTTTGCTGGTTTTATCGACAAGTTCAATGCTTTTGTTGGACCAAAAGACCCTCCAAGTGAAATATCGTGTTCCAGCCACGGAAATTTATCGCCTCTCCCTCTCACCATATCCAGACGACATTGCTGTTTTCCACATCAGACCCGTAAGTGTGATTTGCCATTTCTCACCAATTGTGTGTGTGTGTGTGGCTGAAATTCTTTAATATTTCATTTTTCAATTTTGCAGGAAAGTCCTCGATGTCGCCATGGAACAATGTATCACCACGAAGCCACGGACTCTCCCACAGGATGTCTGTTTCAGGTGAGAGAGCGCACGCCAAAGACACCCATTTATCTTCTCCACCCCTTTTTTCTTACGCTTTTCCACTTTTCCGCCGGAAGAGAAAAGTCTGGCGAGTGTAAATTGATTTTTTTTGTCTCCTTTCATTCCCTTTTCCTGGAATTTGCTGCTTAAGTCGGAAATGAGTCGGCAGAAGGGTGATTTTGCCTTTCAAACGTGTCACGTCATTGAAATTGTCACGAAACTCTTTCTCGTCATACAAAATGCCACAGCAAAGCCACCAGAGGTTCACATAAGTACTGAGTGAGTGTCTTTTTCCTTTACTTGATTTCCTCACTGGTTTGCTTATCAAACTATTCCTTTTTGGCAGATTCGAGGCCAATTTCAATCAGCAGACAGTCATTTTTACCTTTAAGTGCGGTCGTGTACCTGAAGCAACGCCAAAAGTCAGTCGCAAAGGAAATCGCATGGAAATTGTTATTTGAATATCGAAGGATTCTGTGTGTTAGAAGGGAAGTTTGGGTTTTTTGCAATAATCGTGCGCACAATTAAATTCAATGTCTTCTTCAGCAAAAGATTGCTCACTTTGAGTGGATTTGGATGGATTGTTAGGACTCAAAATTTCTCACTATTTGTTCTTTTCTTATTCCACATAAAATGTGCATAAATTTTTAGCAATGATATAATTGTGAAATTAAAATGTAGAACTTTTTAGGTGAAATTCACTGAGAAAAAATATAGTACAAATAGTGGATTGAATTGGTCAAAAAAAAATAAACAAGAAGAAATTAAATGAAAGTTTGCACAATAAATGAGACACAATAAGAAAGCCTTAGAGAAGCCACAAAAAGAAGAAGAAGAAAAAAATAAGATGGTCATAAAATAGTTGTTGAATGCAGAGAAATGTTTCAATTAACCAATATATATATATATATATAGTAGGAAAAGTTAATTCATCAAAACATATCTTGAGAAAAGTATTTTTCTGATTTGTTTTTCTTTTCTGTCCATCACAAAACGCACTTTTGTCACAGTTTATTTTAGTGTGTTCTAACAAAAGCAGAGAAAATAAAGTGAATTATTAAAATATATGGTAATTTAGGATAAAATTCAATTAATTGATATTAAATTATATAGAGAAAAAAAGTTATTCAATCGTAGAATTTATCACTCTTCACAAAAATGAAAAGAAAAAAAAATCCTCTAATGAAGTGTTGTGTTAACAAAATCACTGCCACTTGTTGAAAAAGTTATTAAAAAAAAGAAAAGAAATTGTAGCATATTAGAGAGATAGAGAAAATGTAAAAGAAGCTTTTGAGAAGGTGTTCGCCTAATAAATCACACCTAAAAGAAAAAAAGAAACACAGAGAAATTGAGAGCGCGAATCTTCATAAATAGTTAAATTTCTCTCATAACATTTATTCGGCTGATAAAATGATCAAAGAAACACTGCATATAAAATCGAATTTAAAGGGAAATACAAAAGGAGAAGAAGAAGAAGATGAAAATGGGGAGGAAAATTGAGATAACACTGATGATAATAAATGAAATCAAAGATTGTTGACTGTAAACGAGGCGTAAGAATGCGTTGGAGTTATGCAAATAAATGAATTCCACTGAGAGAAAAGCACCGAAATAACAAAAGACTTTTGACTAATTTTTCTGTATAATTTATTGTTATACTTAAAATTTTCGTCACTTTTTTTTTATTTTTTTTCACATATTCCTTCCATACATCACTAATTTTAAAATTAATATAGGGTTTTTTTAGTGGATTTTCTTTTCGTCACTTCTTACATATCTCTTGTTTCTCCCTTTTTCTCCCTCTCAAAATGTCTCTATATTCTTGCTCTTCGTCACTGTCGTCTGCTTTTCCCTTCTTTCCTTTTCTCTTGTTTTTAATAATAATAATTAATAATAATTCATGCACCTACTTAATATTGTTTTCTGTTTTTCCTCCTTCTCTCTTTCTCGGGAAATTAATATGAAAATTACATAATGTTTCATGACAAAACTTCACAAATTCTTGTTTCCATTTTTTTACTCTACATTTTTTTTCTCTGTTCCATTTCTTCATGAGGGGGTGGAAGATTATTAAAAAAAAAAACAGTTGAGAGTGAATCTGAAATATGACAAAAATGACTAAATTAAAAATCTAAGAAGTAAAAACAGTCACACAATAATCTCAATTTGTACGTATTTTCCTTTCATATGAATGATTTTCTCTCGTTATTTGCATTTTATGTTTTCATTTTGGGGGAATTTTTGTACAAAATTCTTACATATTTCCACTATTTCTGTTCTTTTTCCTTCTCTCTTTTTCTAGCTGTACAAATTGAAATTAATGCAGTGGAAAATTTAACTACATTTTATTCTCCACATTATTTTTTTTACAAATTGAATACAAAATAAGCACTTTTTGTAAATTTTTAATAATTGGTAAGGGGAGGAAAAATAAAAAAAAAGATTTTTGTGCGAAAATTCATAATTTTCCTGTTTCTATTTATTTACTTTTTTTGTATGACTCTTAAAACTTATACTTTTAATGCTCATTTCGTGTGTTTTTTTTGTGTATTTCTTTAATGTGTTCAATGTGATGAAATATTTTCAATGCGCTTGTTGTTTTTTGATCATAAAATTGATGGTATTATTTATAATTATTTATTCTTTTTCACAATAAAAATTACACATTTTCCTTCACGTCTTCTTCTACACTTGGCTTCGCTTTGTCACCATTATATAATCAATAAAATTATCCTCTTTATCTACTAAAATGTGTATAAAATGATTTTCTCTCTCTCTTTTACCTTTAATAAGCTTTGATGATATATATTATTATTTACTTTAAAAGAAAAATTGAAAAATTGGGGAGGAGGACAAATAATATTTAGAAATGAATCTAAATTAACGATTGTCACACATTTTCTTCCTGTTCTTTTTTTCTTGAAATTCTTCTTCGGGTTTACAAAGTCAGTTGAATGTGATTTAAAGTTAAAGAATGAATGATTTTTTTTTTTAAATATTTATATCGCTTTGTTGCTGCTTTTTTCTTTAAATCTTTGACTACATTTAGTTTTCTCCATTAAACTCTTATTCCATTGTTTTATTAATGCACTTTAATTGTCACTTTTACAGAGTGTTTGAAATGAAGAGTTGTGTTAAGTTTTTTCATTTTCTTTCTTTTCGTTTTAAAATTTGTCAAAATTACTCAAAGATTCACTTTTTAAAGCTTTTTGTTGATTTTTTTCTCTCATCCTTAACATATTCTCTTGTTCGTTTCACTTATTATTTTTATTCTCATTTTACGTCAATAAAGTGCATTTTTGCTCAATTTCTTTTTTTTTACTAATTTTTTTATCTTTGCATTTATTACACGAAAATAAAGGGGAAATCAATCATTATGTTTATCAACAATTAATAGCTCTTTAATACACTTCTTTGTATAATTTCACATTTTTTTTTCTTCCATTTAAATTTACTTTCCGAGGAGACAATCGCAAATTTATATATTTACTTTAAAAATCTTATCCATTTAATTGCACACCCTAATAAAAACTAATATATTTTTTCTCACAATTAAAATTATATCAATTTTCTTACTCATGAATTTACTTACAAGAGAAAAAAAAATTCTTCCTGGGTTTTGTCAAAGGACAAAAATCCTTTTCTTTTCATATAATGTAAAAAGAATTAAACTTAGAAAAAAAATTCATCCCACATAGAAATTAGAAAATTATCTAAAGTAGCTTACAAAAAAAAAAGAATCTCAATACAATATATATAAAAAGAAAATCTGTGGCTTTTTTTTATCTGTGTGGAAAAGAAGAAAGATAAAATGTAGAAAAAAGATTGCAAAAAAAAAACAGTCAAAAAGTTCTTAGAGGAATTCTACTTTTTGGGTTGTTTTTCTCCTTTTTCTCACTTCTTGCATTGTTAAAATGTTGTGTGCAATTTGACATTCGCTGATGCTATTAATGCTTTTCAGTTTCCTTATATATCAATGTTATGAGTTTTTAGAATTTGTTGCTTCATTAAGAGGTTTGGTTTTGCTCGAAAAAAGAAAATACAAAAAAGAAGAAGAAAATGAATGAGAAGCAGAATTAACGAGCGCGAGCTAAAATACTACATTTTCACAATACTTTTCTTCTCTGGGCGGGGGATGAAAAAAAAGAAAAAGAAATTCGCTTCGCAATTTAATCATATATTTATGTGCAATTTAAAAATTGTAACGTGTGTGTAACTGATTTTTAAAATTGAGAAAAAGTCAATGACGCTATGATCGATCCTGTGTGATTAAAAGTTTATCGTCGCAAAGGAATCGCTTTGATCTTGTCATCATTCAAATTGATCTACATATTAACAGTTTTCTTACACGCGCGCCTTTCTATTCACTTTTACTTTTTATTAAGTTTAATAAGGGGGATTTTTTTTATATTCACTTTAGCTTTCCTCGCTGTTCCACTGTTTCGCTTTTCTCTCTCTCTTTCTCTCTCAATAAGACCATTTTTTTGTGGGTTTTTCTTTAGTGGTTATTTTGTTAATTTCTCCTTCTCTTTAACATTAAAGTTGGTGGAAAACAGGTACTCCGCTAAGTCCTTTTTGTTTCCTTATTTATCATATAAATTGTAATAGTTTAATTCCCATTTTTTCTTCTCTTCCTTCCTACCCAAATATGCTTCAACTCTCTCTCTCTTCTTACCCTCAAAGTCCTTTTCTTCCCTTACAAATTATGCATTACATTTTCATCAATCTTTCTTCCTTTTTTAAATGTTAAAATTACTTTTTCTCTTTTCCTTCCTTTCTATATTATTAATTATTATTATTATTATTATCGCAATTGTTCTCTGCAAATATTACAATATAATTTCCTCTCTTCGCTTCTTCTGAATTCTTTTTTTTTTAACCTTTTCTTCATTTCATGATTTATTTTTCGCATATATTTTTTCTCTTGTCTAGATTTCCGGATTAAATGGTTTGAAGTTAGATGAAAAATAGTGCTTCCCTTCGTTTGTTTTCTTTTTTTTTCTTTTGAAATTGCATGACCTGCTTGTCGTCCTAATAAGTCAAATGATGGCATATAAGGGTATTTTTTACGTTCCTATCATTTTCCACCACATTTCATGTCTTTAACATTATTCATATTTTTTTGTACTTTGTTATTTTTCATCATCATCATTAAAATTACAATAGTTATTACTCTATTTCATCACATCATTGATATATTTTCTCGTGTTTTTCTCTTTATCTCTTCATTTTTATTCTTCACCTATTTTGTTATTTATTTATATAGCGATTTTTTTTAGTTATTCTCTTTCATTTTTCTCTGTTTAGTCCATTTCAGCTGTTGAATTCTTCACTCTGTATTAACTTTCGCTTCTTCTTCTTGTTTTCCTTAGCGGTGCTTTTATTTTTTGGCAGTTTTACGCTGACAATTTTTCCTCAGGTGTGTTTTTTTTCGTGTGTGTGTGTGTGTTTGTAGAGTTGCTTTTTCTTCTTTTGTAAATGTGCATTTTCTGCATCCTCTGCGGAAATTCATGTTGAATCTCTTTTTGAAGGAATTCTTCAGCTTCTTCTTCATTTTTTTCTTTATGGCTCTCGTCTGCGCAGTATTTTTCATCTAACGTCTCGCTTTTTATCCATGTTTTTGTGATTTTGATGATGTTTTTTTTCTCCTGGCTAAGAAGCTTTTTTTTGCCTTGGTTCCAATTCAATATATAATAATGTGTGGTCAAATTCAGATGTCGTGTGCCTCTCATTGTCCGTTGATTCTGCAGTTTCACAGTGAAACTCTCTCTTTCGTTCTATATCCTTAAACCTTAAGTGTGTGTGCTTCTTTTTCTCCTCCTTAATGCCTATACTCACGTTCTCAGTTGCACTCCAGAAATTATCATGATCAATGTCGCTCCTTTTTTGTTCTTCATTTGCCTGCAGTTTGTTACTTATCAATCAAAGGTAATTTCGTTTAAAATGTGTGTATATTTTTCTGGTTGTCTCACGATCTCCACACTTCTGTGACAATTTTTCATTCGGCTCTTCAATACAATGTTTACTTTTCAGTGATTAAAATGTAGGGATGCGGCGCAGGAAGCGCGCGCGTGTGGGGGAGGGAATGGGGGTGATTTCAGTGGACAGGGTCCGCGGCATGTTGGCCGGGTGGGGTGGGACTCAGCGATGCGGCATGTCTGAGGATGGTGAGGAGGAAGGGATTGTGATTGTGCCACATGTCGTCACTCTATTGCTACCTGCGGCCAATGAGGCCATTTGGTGTTTGCGAACTAGCCGTATGCCACAGCTCCAGCTCCACGAGGAGCGGGAAGTGGTCCGATGGGATGTGAGGATGCGGACAGCCGACCACCTTATTCTCACGCAGCCAGTCAGCCGACACGGGCCCCAGCAGGCCCAGCGGCGTCATCCCGGTGCGCGTGTAGAAGATGTAATCGATAATACCTTTGAAATCGAAGGTGTAGTTCGTGTAGGGCATGATGTCTTCGCTGTACGCCGAGGCCAACTTGAAGGAATGCGTAAATTCATTTGGTGTATCACTGCCCGACAGGCGCTGCAGGCACGACTTGTAGCCCAACTCCTTGAAGTCCTGATGATCCATTGACACACGCCCCGAGCTGAGGAATTCAATCACTCCGGAGTCTGGCAGGGAATTGAAGTCGCCGCAGAGGAGCAATTGGACATTATTGCTGTCAAACTTGTGTCCTGGCCGAAAACTGTGGCCCGCCTCATCCAGGATGCTCTTCAGCTCATTGCTCAGCATCATCGTCTGAATCAGCTTCACATCACAGAATTCAGGATCCCAGTGAATGTGCGCCGTGCACACGAGAATCGGCTGCGCCAGGGCGGCCGCCTCTGGCGATAGTCCCTCCCACGCGGACTCCTTCACCTTCAGCAGCGCCGCCAGGCCAATGTTGTCCTTCGGCATCACACGGTTCAGCATGTTGTCCGACCCCTCGGCGTTTGCCATGGCCAGTTGATTAAATTCCACCAGATGTTCCTTGATCAGCGAGAATCTGCAAAAGAATTTGATCATGTTGCAATTTCTGATCTGTATTTTGATGGTTGAATATCATCATCATCAAACCAACCTAGATGCCCGGAAGAAAATGGCGCATCCATCGACGTACTTTCTCTCATTCTCAGCCATCGTTTTGGCGCGTGATTTTGGCGAGAAAATCCCTTCGTAGCCGTCATTCTTGAGTTCTGGCTTGAAGAAATTGTAGAACTGATCCGTCTCCACCTCCTGAAGACTGATTATGTCGGCAGAATAGTGGCGAATCTCGTCGAGAATGGCCTTTTCGAGAGAGAGAATTGCAAGAGAAGAATTTAGCATTATTCAAGATGATGAGAAATAAGAGACTTGCTCACCTTTTTCCGATACTCCCATCCGAGCGCCCAGCTCTGGCAATAGCCATACATTTGTCTAGTCGCATATTTGTCACAGAGTACATTGTAGCACATTACGGTGAATATACCTGGCAAGAGATGAAAAAGAAGAAGAATATTGAGAATGAGATTCAAAGTCGGTCGGAGAGAAAGAAATTTGCTCGTTAGACAAGTCAATTGACGCGCGCGCGTACAAAATTCATTACAATAAATTTTACATGAGAAAATTTACTGACCAACTCCGATTAAAGGTTAATTGGGAGAGACTCCGCCGGACTTTCTTATCACTCTCTTTCTCTCTCTGTCTCTGTTAAGCGTTGATGTCTTGTTCTCAAATGAAGAGTTATAGACAATCTTGTTGGTGCTGATTGTGTCATAAATCGTCACACATTGAGATTTATCTCAAAACAGATGAAGTAGGCCAATTCTTAAAGGCTCTCTTCTTTAGTGTGTGATGATAAAATCTCACTGATTTCAGTGATTTATGAAGAAGATTTTTCAGCTTCTGAAAATTCCTTTGCATAATTACCCAAAAAATTGCTCCCCCTTTTTGAATTTACATATTCAGCAGTGATTTTATCATTTTGGAATATCTTAATATCCTCACATATTAAATGGTAAATGCTGTGAAAATGCACCTAATTATCAAATTATTCCAGTAATTTCGTTCTTTTTTGTTACACACAGAAAGAATTTACATACAAACTGAGACAAGAGAATGCATAAATTTTATGTTAAGTCTTCGTTCTCAATATCTCTCTCATGAGCCAAGATATCTCATAAAAATCTTCCGGACAGATTCTTAGAGAGAGAATCTCGAGCTCCACTTTTGCAATTTGCACATTAATTAATTGACGAATATTAGATGGTAAATGTGTGATAAGGAGAAACTTACATGCTGGTCGAGTACGATTAGGACGAGCCAATGGAATCCACGGACGCTGAGGCGGAGGTCCTGCACTGACTGTGAGAAGAACAAAAAGAGTAGTTATTAGTGCTAATTGTTTAATGAGTAGCAAATATTCTCAGCGTGTTGATTTGCTGTTTTTTTTTCTTTTCTCCTCCTTTTCTGTCCCTCATGAGGAGGAGGAGGAGGAGAGCCAAAGAGCGCGCATCCGCGAGCACGAGATAAAGAAGGCAAACAGTGTGTAAATACAGAAAAATCGTGCTTCTTTTTTTGTCCCTCATAATATTCTCTTTCTCTCTCTCTCTCTCGCTGCTCAAGTCTTTCCCCGTGTCGTTGCTTTTTTCACAGTTGCACATATTTATACAAATAGGGCTCATTAGTAATACACAGAGAGTAAACAAAATCCCTGAAGAGAAGTCGCGCAGAGTGAAGAAAAGAGACACAAGAAAAAAAACGACGAGAGATTCTCTTCATATTACATGGAAAATAACAAGATCACTTTTGCCGTGTGCAAAACCATCAGAAGAGAGTCTCAAATATCAAAGGAATGGCGAGGAATGGCGAGCGCGCAAAAGATGTGAAGGAGAAAAGAGTGAATCCATGCGCCAAAACCATTGTTGAACATATGCTGACGAGCAACAATTGATACGACGTGCAACATGATCGTGGAATCGACATGAGGGTCATGGTTATTGATCTGTGCAAACAAATTTATTTTATAACTCTTACTCGCCTCCCCTATAATATTGCAGACTAATCTCTCTCTCTTGAGAAGCAGTTTCATCTCCATTCGCACTTGGTGTGTGCGCGCGCGAGTGAGAGAATCAAATGTGCCATTATTATTCTTTTACTGATGGGCAAAGAAATACCGCGACGAGATCAGAATCCCGCGGGAGTTTTCGTTGGAATGCCCAGACGGCGTGTGATTGAAATTGAGTCGATATATTTGAGAGCTTCTAGCGTGATTTTGCACAAACTTGCGCTACACAATTAGGCCATTCAAACTGTATTAAGTCTGTTGAAATTCATGTGGATTCCATTTGGGCAACACTTCTTTGCCTTATTCTAATTCTCATCTTCCATTGCAAACATCTGCGCGAATTGATCTATATATAGTTAGGACAAAACGGTTTTAAAGCCAAGGTATATTTTCTAATATAGTGTATAAATTCGATTAAGTTCCTCAACAAGTCATACACTATATGCTCTTAGGCTTCTGAGTGCGAAGGAATACGAAGCGCGAAAGTGCAAGAATCAGTGTTAAACAGCAAAGAGGTGGTCTCTTGGCCTCTGATTGACCATTCCTCTCTCAAGCGCAAGTCTCAAAATTGCGTGGTTAATATTTATCTCTCCCATTCAACTCTCTCATGCTCAATATGTACATATCGATTCCATAATCCATGTATTAAAAGCCTTTTTCTGAATTGATTCTGCATTTCCACTGCACGTCTTGCTGCGCGTGGTTGTGATTGTCTTTTATCATGTTAATCCATTTGCCGCCCAGATGGAGAGGACGCAAAAAGGAGGAAGAAGATGAGAGGGATTTCAAAAGGAAAAACAGAGAATAATGAGGCATGTAAAAGGCTAAAGAAGAAGTGTTCGCGGTCTGATCAAGACGTACTTATTTGCAAATATATATATATATATATATATGTGTGTTATCTTGCGTCGCAAGTCTCTGTCTCTCTGTGCCGATGCGTTTATAGGATTTGAAGATGTTGCGAATGGAAGGAAAATACGAGTGATGTTGTGCATTTTGTCTTGACAATTGCACACAATCTTATATTACACTCCCTCTTTTTGACTCTGTTGCTTGCTCTCTTGTGAATCACCTTTACCATACCAATCAATCATCGTCATCGCAGTGTGGCGCAACAAAACAGTGGAAATGCGCTTCTGCAGCAGAAGCGCACACACAGCAATCAAACGTGAGCCACCATAAGATCTTCTCATTGCAAATAGCAATATAAATGAATGCATAGCTTGAGGAAATCACTGATTATCAGCCACCCAAAGTAGCCCATCTTCCTCTCCTTCACTCATATCATATTTTCCATTCATTCTCTCATTCCACTCCACACACAACATCTGATCTTCACCGCGCGCGGCAATGCTGACAATATAATAATTACTTATGCCAATTGCTAATTACCAATTTGTTGGCTCTCACTCTCTCACATGCCAATTCATTCTTCTTCACCACACACATATCACAAGAGCCAATCAAGCGTGCATCTCAAGTTCATAATGACTGCAATCTCAGGGCATCGCGACCTCCTCAACAATATAATGCAATGCGCTACGCGGAATTTCAATATAAACACTCTCCGGTATTGGGTGGAAAAAAGGTGCGCAATAAGTGAGATTAAGAGAGTGCAAATTGATAATGTTTTTCCTCATACTTTTTACTCAAATTCCCCTTTTGTCTACTGGACATTTTGTATGAATTTATGCAGTGAATTAATGCAATGGAAAGTCATAAAAATCACTAATTTTGTCTCGCGCCACACAACTATTAGCCATAATAATAGGAATTTGTTTTAAAAAGGATGATTATCACAATTATACTTAGCATTCAAATTAATTTATACTCAAGAACGTAGAGTGAAAAAGGTACTTAAAATGTACGATAAAATTTGCATTTAAACAGCCGTAAGAAATTTTATTTTTTCTTATTCTTCTTCACCATTATTTTGCATTGAGTGCTATTGAGTATAAAAGTGGAAAAAAGTCTAGAATTTACTTAAATGATATTCAATAGTGACCATAGAATTCTTCACGTTTCTCTCTCCACTCTAGATTCTTGCATTGCATTCTTTTCGTCTCGGTTTTCCGCATTACAACACGAACTGTTTGTATTTTGCTTCTTTTTTTAAGTTATAATATAACAGATAAAAGAAAGAGTTAACTTTTCTCATTAGTGTTTTGTGCAAATTATGATTAATTTGCATAGAAACTTTTCTATTTCAATTATACTCAACACCTAATACTTTGCATTTAGTTAATTGCCAATTGGTAAAGCAATAAAAGGCGGATGCTGAGACATCATCTTACACACAACAACCAACATTTTCTTGTTCTTCTACTTCATCCTTCTCTCCCTTAACATATCATCTGGAAATGATGGGAAATTAATGGTGAACGAGAGAGAGAGAGAGATCCACGTGAGATGGGCTGAAACACTAAATACTTGGCAGATTTCAGTCTCTTCTTCCCCATTCATCTCCTATGTTGAAGATTGTTGGCAACATGTTAATGGGAATTGCTGACAATTTCTGGTATTTTACCTTCTCTGTCTCTCTCTCTCTCGTGCTCGCGCGCACGTTTCTCAATAGATCAGCAGAATAATTATCGGAAGAATCATGTTAAACACACCCTTTTTTCCCCATTGCAAATCAACACACGACAATCTCACTCTATGCATCTTATATGCCGCAATGATCACTTTCGAAATCCTTCCGAGAAGAACATCAAAGTCTCGACGAAGAGGATGAAGATGATGACGAGAGAGTCAATCTTTTTTTCTTATCAATCTCATGCGTGAATCAATCAAGTTTGATGCCACTTTTTGCAATTATGTTAGCGTTAAAACAAAGAAGAGGACGTTCTTGCCAATAGCAATTCGCCCATATGCGCTGATGACAGAATAGTTTACCGTCAAAATTGCAATTTTTAAACATTTTTCTTCTGCAAAAAATAAAGCAGCAAGTGAAGAGTAAATAGAATGATTCATGGTATAGAAAAAATAAATATTCAAGAAGTGTATGCAAATTGTACAGAACAATTGTGCACAGGAAAAAAGCAAAAAGAGCTCAATTCTTCACTTAAAAGCCTATATTTTACGACTCAATGTGCGGTTTTTATTGCCAAAATTGTACACACACTTGAATCATTTTCACTCAACTTTCCATGTCCGGCACTTTTAAAGGTTTTCTTAAACAGTTTTTTAATCCCGAGGAATTTGTGTCTGGCCGTTAACATTCCATCTATGCGCCAGACTCCTGAGGAGGTGTTTTTTTGTGTGTGTTTTTCGAAAGTCATAAAATTTCAAGTTCATTGTACATTCACTGAGTACACCCACATTTTGTGTCCGTCTACAAATTAACAGTTCATTGCAGAGCATTTATCATACAATTTTCCACCTTTCGTGCAATTTTTTTTTTCCTGTTGTTGACAAAGAAAATTTCATGGGAAAAAAAACTGTGACGAAAAGTGATGAAAATTCTGCGAAAAATTTATGTGAATCATTCATTGAGTGGATGATTAATCGTCAAAAGTGACCAAAAGATTGCTTTGTAATCCTATTTAAAGATCGTGTGTTTGTGCTGGAAATCATGCTTAATAATCCCACGATTGTGTCTCAACTTCTTAAGTGGCCGAAATGGCAGATTTTTCACGCATTCGCTGTGAGCGCGCGCAGAATTGTGCGACAAAAGAATGACCATAAAATATAATATGCGGCAATTTTAGATCTGCAAAAGAAGTCATCTGACCGCAAAAGAGTGTGACAATTTCATCCCACACCCACGAATGTCTTTTATCATCAAATTAATTACACTTTAAAGAGACTGACTGACTGCGCGGGTCTTTGTTCAATTGAACAAAAAGCGTAGCTTTCAAGTCATGCACACGAAACCATCTGAGTTGTATTGCTGTGTGTTTACCTTCAAAAGTGATCTTGAGCAAGTCTGAGAATTCCAGACATGTTGAGAAGTCACTTTGCGCGCGCACTTCATATGATAAAAGAAAAACCCCCCTTTTTGAGATGCCCAGGATGGAAGGGGAGAAAAAAGGCTCACAAAACTGTCCTCCCGCCATCATAATCATCAATTTAAGATGTGTGTTTCGCCTCTGTTGGCTGTGTCAAGTCCAAGTTTATGGATTATCACGACTCAATGATATTTATTGCGATTAACAATATAAATCATACTCCTTGTTCATTAGTGCTCCTAGACTGTTCACAATATAATAAATGTTGTATAAAATGTGAGAGACATCAAGATGAATTAAGAACGCCGAAGAAGGAGGACATCAATTTGCATGGGAGCTTCTCTTGC